TGGGAGGGGTGAACAGAACTAACCAGACCGCCGCTCCCCTCCGTGGGAGGGGTGACCAGGACTAACCAGACCGCTGCTCCCCTCCGTGGGAGAGGTGACCAGGAGCTGACTGGGCCCCTTGTGTGTTTCTCACACGTCCTCTTTCTGAGCTGGGACAGGTAGCAGCACCGGACTGTACATCTCAATTGCCACCCTTCAGACCCACTCATGGAGGTATTGGAAAACCCCACTGCATTTCCACAAGGTTCTCCGTGCACTTGGAGAAGACAGCATTCAGGGAGATGGCAGTATGACTCTGGTCATGTCGTAACGTGTGGTCTTTAGAAATGTAAACAGGGCAGTCCTTCCTCAGGGGCCATTCTCAGAAACCTGCCTCCCCCAAACCTGAAGCCGCATCTGCCCAAAGATGGCATCTTTCCACACACAGTGTCTCCTGGCCAGGCTTCCTGTTGTCACAGAATTGGGGTGGCTGTGATGCGGCACCTCAGAGCCCCGGCAACCCTGCGTTGCTGGCCGGGTGAGAACGCGTGTTTCCTCTGAATTCCCAGCAGGCGCTCAGGAGGTGACCTGGGTGTGACAGGATCGAGGTCCTGCCCAGGAGGTGGCGCTCCCAGTTCCAGGTGCACCACCAGGGAGGGTGGGCAGGGAAATGCACAGGTTTTCAATTCTTAGAAAGTAAATACCCGAGGAGCCAGAGGGGTCTTTGACGAAGGGCCTGCTGCATTTTGGAGCCGGAACTTGGGTCAGGAACTATGGGGGACAGGAGAGTCTGTCCAGGGCACCGGTGCCTGGCTCTGCACCTTAAATCTGAATTAAGATAAGGGGAGAGCCAGGTCCCCGGGGGCAGAACAGGCTTCCTCACGGAAGGGCCAGCGCTCTGAGGAGGGCAGCGTCAGGGTCTCTCCTCGGCACCACGGTCTGGTCTCTAAAGCCGAAAAACTTGCACTGCTGTGGAGTCCATTCTGACTCCGGCGCTCAGAGGACAGAGCAGCACTGCCCCGTAGGGTTTCCAAGGCTGTTGTGCTCTCGGAAGCAGGCGGCTGCCTCCTCTCTAAGGCCGTTTCAAGAACTAGCGCCTGGTTAGTTAGTTCACAGGAGAACTAATTGCTCTGCCTGTGTCCCTCCCTTGGGACCTGAGGCTGGTGAGCTTGCTTGTTCTGTCTTTGGTGCTAGAGCCGTTTCAGAATTAGCACTGCATTGAACAGAACCAGGACAGTGAGAGGATGACACACGGTGGCTGCCTAAGGCCATTTCCGAGTGTGTGTGACAAGCACAACACGCAGGCGGTGTCCAACCCTCTCACCACATGGACTGCGTGCGCACAACCCGTGTTCTCCACCCTCAGAACCACCCAAGAGGTAGGCCGCACCAGCCCCACTGTGCTGGTGGGCAAGCTGGGGCTCCGAGAGGTGGACCGATTTGCCTGTGGTCTTACAGCAGGCTGCCCTCAGAGCTCCGGGAGCACACGCTAGGCAGCTTCCCAAGTCCTGGCGGGGCTGCTCCCTGCCTCACCTGGCCTCTGATGCTGCATCTCCTGCAGACAGGATTGGGGTCACCCACGAGGCTCCTCAGAGGGCCCCCCTGTGGTCTAGGTTGTGCTCCCGGGCTCTTGTCCCGTAACCCCTGTGCTTGTACAAGCTGAAAGGCTGCCTCTGAAGTGGGAACACGGGCCTGAGGGACCACCTCACCACGGCAGTGCTGTCCTCAGAAGTCGGCCAGGGCAGTCCCTCTGTGTCCTCGGATCCAAACGGACGGCTCCCATTACTCCCCTTTCCACGCGGAGGGCTTTGCTTCCACTTCATCGCTCCTGGCTTAACTACTGCACGTGCGCCTGTTAACTGCTGACTAAATGTGGAAACATGAACCACGGGTCTGAGTGGAATATGCCTTTAAATGGTATCTGGCCAAATGGTGTCTGAAATAGCTCGTGGCTCCTGCCAAAGCCCCGGCTCAGCATCAGGTGTGTGCTGGGCGCGTGCAGCTGTGTACGTGGCGTGGGGGAGGATCCCTTCCAGTCATGCCCACAGGTACCCTCAAGCCAAGTCATGGGGCACCTGGCCTAAGAGGCCAGGGTCTGGAACGGAACTGTTCTCCTTTGAAACTACTATAACTAACTGTCCTTTCTGGTCATGTGACCTCTGATGACTAGCAGGTCTGTACAACTCCTACATTTTGGCTGTGACCCAAAGGCCACTTGAGATCCTGACGCGCAGGAGAGCACAAGCTGTTCTCCTGCAGGTGATGCTGGCTCTACTAGGACCTGGCCCGCAGGCCCCGCCATCGCGCTGGGGCGGGGACACGGGCTCTACCTAAATGAAGTGAAACTCTGGGGAGCCAACTGCTCTTCCTGCCGAGATAAACGGAGGTGTCGTCACCCTGAGGGTCACAGCATGCTTACTGTCCAGATCCGTTTCTTCAGGGAGCTCAGCACATCCTGGCGACGCATGCCGGGAAACCGCCATTGCAGCAGGACTGGAAATGGGTCGTGTACAAGCTCAGCCCATCTCCCAGACCTTCCCCTAACCAAGGGCAAGGCTCCTAACCCTGTGGCTGGGGAGGCGGCACCCTGCTGCCCCCCCCCCCACGGAACACTGGCATGCACTGGCTCCCTCACCCCAGAGCCCGGTCCATCCACCTGCCTGCTGTCTCCATGGCGGCTGTCAGTCACACGCGCGCACGCACACACACACCTGGCTGTCTCCATGGCGGCTGTCAGTCACACGCACGCACGCACACACACACAC